TGCATCCTCTACAAGCGGTTGTGCTTTTGTGTACTTTCCTGTACAGTACTGTATAGAGTACAGTAGTACAGTATCTTTATTTCTTGCCTGTTCACTAGATGCCAGCCCCTGTACGCCAGCTGTTGYACTGTACTACTGTACTTTTCAAGGTACTGTACTGTAAGATTAAAAATGTTGTTTATTTTTAGTGTTTGTTTGATTTTTATGTATTATTTGTGAAAAGTATTATAAACCTATTACAGTACAGTACCATATAGCCGATTGTGTTAGTTGGGTACCTAGGCTAACTCTGCTGGGCTTAACAAACAAATTGGACTTACTAACATGCTCTCGGAACGGAACTCGTTCATATGTAGAGGACTTACTGTACTGGGAGAGTTGGTTGTCTAGAGGAGGCCAGATCAGAGCAGGGAAAGGAGTTCTGAGCGGTACTCTGTAACCCTCAATTTAGCCTCCATCCTCCAGGGATACGATATAGTCCTGTTAGTAAAGGTGGCGTCTTACAGCAGTCAGAAAGAGATGCGAAGGTAGGAAGCTAAGACCTAGATGGGATGGAACTTTAAAGGGAAAATGACACAAAACAACAAAAACATCCGGGCCAAATTTCCCTGACAATCATAGCTTTTTTTATTGCAAAACAAAATTGTCTCCTACTGATTATTTAGTGCTTAGTAGGCCTGAGGTAAACAACGCAGTAAACTAGTCCGACAACGTCATTTTAAAAGTAAGAGTTGGGGCTTCCCTGGTGGCGCAGTGGTTGAGAGTCCACCTGCCGATGCAGGGGACACGGGTTCGTGCCCCAGTCCGGGAGGATCCCACATGCCGCGGAGCGGCTAGGCCCATGAGCCGTGGCCGCTGAGCCTGCGCGTCTGGAGCATGTGCTCCGCAATGGGAGAGGCCACAACAGTGAGAGGCCCGTGTACCGCAAAAAAAAAAATTAAAAAAATAAGAGTTGAAATCCAGACTGAACAACCTGTGAGAAGTCACACAGCCAGGTGACAACTCAGAGACAGCCTGTGCCCATTTTTGAAGCTCCCCAAAGTCCTTGAGATGGCTACCAAGGTAATGTGATTATGGAGAGGACGGTTGAGGACAGGAGGCGTCTCAGCTCCTGAATTCTGCTGCTGGGGCCCTCAGGGCAGAGGCAGGTCTCATTTCCTTCCTAAACCACCTGGCATCTGGTTATTCGCTCCTCTACAAAATGACGCGCCCTGGAGACTCTCTGAACCCCAGGAGTCCTGGACCACAGCCGCCCTGTCACAAAAGTCACATCACAACGCTCTCACGTTAGCGTTCACCTCAGCTACAGGCACTGTCAACTGACCAAACGCTGCAAGTGAGAAAGGTGACAATCGGGGCAATCAAATGACCTGCAGTCCCTTCTGTGCATCAGAGGAGTGCCCTACGGGGCGGGTGCCAGCTGATACCTGCTCAGGAGAGACCCCTGTGCGCACCTCTTCCCAACACCACCTTCAGTGAGGTCAGCTTGGTACCTTAAAATCTGCCATGGTAGGAGTATTTACACTATGGGAAACGGAAAAAGCTGCAAAGGAGTTGTTCCATTCTGTTTTTTGTTTTTTTTCTGAGAGCCAGTTATTAAACATTTACCAGCTTATCATTGGTAACTGGTGACCATGTTAGTGTGTCTGAGCTTTTGGTGCTCAGAAAGCAGAAACAGAACCTACTAATTCTTTGGAGAAGAAACAGCACTGCGTCCTGCACAAATAGGTATTTATTGCTCTCTGAAAGGAATACTTAACATTTCCTACAGTGCTTCAAGTTTTCAGAGTTTCCAATTTGCCTTCTGGAAAAAAACCATATCACTGTCAGCATAAACCCTGAATCTCATCCATTTTTGCATCCTCAAAGCCTTGACTCCATAAATGTATCCCTCTCTCTTTTCTGGCATTCTTTCAACACATACCCATTCCCAAGTGTCACTCACCACTTCTTTTGATTTTGTAAGACTGTCTCGGGCTTCCCTGGTGGCTCAGTGGTTAAGAATCCGCCTGCCAATGCAGGGGACAGGGGTTCGAACCCTGGTCCAGGAGGATCCCAAGTGCCGCGGAACAACTAAGCCTGTGCGCTGCAACTACTGAGCCCACGTGTCACAACTACTGAGCCCGCGTGCCACAACTACTGAAGCCCGCGTCTCTAGAGCCCTGCTCTGCAACAAGAGAAGCCACTGCAATGAGAAGCCCACGCACCGCAACGAAGCGTAGCCCCCGCTCACTGCAACTAGAGAAAACCCATGCACAGCAACGAAGACTCAACGCAGCCAAAAATAAATTAATTAATGAATTAAATTAAAAAAAAAAAAAAAGAAGACTGTCTCTCAACTCTCCACTGCCCTTCCCTTCAGAGCCAAGCCTTTTCAAAGGTGCTTGAATCCTCCAGCTCCACCCGGACTTCCACCCACTTCTCCACACCCCACACCACACCATTCTAAGGTCACACATGACAGAGGAACCAAATCAACTGGTACCTCAGCCCTTACTCTGACCCAGTGAAACTCCCTCCTCCGTAACTACCTGGCAATCTGAGGCACCCTTCCCTGTGGTTTGCCTTCTACCTCTATGCCTGCTCCTTCTCTGTACACAGGGCTCCTTCTCCTGTCCTGAAATATCCATGTAAGTGCATAAGACCCACCCAACTGTCAACTACAGATTCCTCTCGGGAGTCAAGTAATATAGGGGTATAAAGGGTTTCAAATTTTTACTCTGTAAGACATAAATTGTTTGAATGTTCCATAAAAAATGAACTTATACAATTGTTTTTTAAGTTAAGTGACCCCAAAGTTTCATTCTGGTCTATAAAACACCACCCACAGTCCACTGTCAACATGGGCCCATGGGCATTAGCTGCCACCTGCATGCTGCCCTCTCTCAAATCTGCTCTAGTCCCGGTGACTCTAACAAGCTCCAGGTTTGAACACTCAGAAGTCTAAGAGCCATCTCCATCCGGATCTTACACACACACTGCAAACTCAACACTTCACCACACCTCTGCTGTACTCCCTCCAGCTCAGGGCAGGGACCATCAGCATGAAAATACAAATCAAAAGCCTGCGACTGGCCTTCCCTGGTGGCGCAGTGGTTGAGAGTCTGCCTGCCGATGCAGGGGACACGGGTTCGTACCCCGGTCCGGGAAGATCCCACATGCCGCAGAGCAGCTGGGCCCGTGAGCCATGGCCGCTGAGCCTGTGCGTCCGGAGCCTGTGCTCCGCAATGGGAGAGGCCACAACAGTGAGAGGCCCGCGTACCGCAAAAAAAAAAAAAAAAAGCCTGCGACCTCCTGGACTCTTCTTAAACCCTCCACCTAGTCAGTCATGCTGACTCTAGGTCCAAATTCCCCTCAAATCTAGTCCCTCTTCTATTTATTTTTTAGAAGATGTTGGGGGTAGGAGTTTATTAATTAATTTATTTATTTTTGCTGTGTTGGGTCTTCGTTTCTGTGCGAGGGCTTTCTCTAGTTGTGGCAAGCGGGGGCCACTCTTCATCACGGTGCGCGGGCCTCTCACTGTGGCGGCCTCTCTTGTTGCGGAGCACAGGCTCCAGATGTGCAGGCTCAGTAGTTGTGGCTCCCGGGCCCAGTTGCTCCGCGGCATGTGGGATCCTCCCAGACCAGGGCTCGAACCCGTGTCCCCTGCATTAGCAGGCAGATTCTCAACCACTGCGCCACCAGGGAAGCCCTCTAGTCCCTCTTCTTGATCCCCAAGCCACTTCTTTAACTCAGGCTGTAATTTCTCATTTACGTTGGGGCAAAAACCAAATTGGTCTCCCTGGGTGTAATCTCCCATCTCTTCCAATTTATCCCCCAAACCATAACCAGAAAAATATTATTAAAATACAAATTGAAACACATCATCCTTCCAACTAAGGCCCGTCCACAAATCCCTAGTCACCATTTCTACTTCCCCAACTGGTTATCATAGCACTGAAGATAAAATTGCAACAGAATTCAAAGCTGTTTGGGATCTACTTCCACCAGTAGTTCTCATATTCCAGTCAGGCTAAACAACCTTAAGTTCCTGAGAAAGTTCCATTTTCACTGTTTGCCAAAGGTCACCTTTGCTAAGGAGCCTTCTTGGAATGGCTCCTTCCTCCTGAAGGCTGGGCATGGATGCCCGATGTTTTCCATGACACCTACCTAATCATGGTACTTACTACACTACTGTAATAGTCAACTTGTCAGTTTACTACAAGCTTCTGAAGACAAAATGTCTCACTTCTGTACCTGTTCTGCCTGACACTTGGGGGAGGGCTGACTGAATAAATATTCATAAATCTCAGTCTTGAAAGGGACCTCAGAATTAATTCTGCTTCTACCTCCATGCCTTTATCGAATGTCTGTTACCCTGGGTAACCCCCTTGCTAAATGAATGTCCAGCCTCTTGAACACCTCTTGTGATGGGGAAATCACTACCAAACACTGATGCCCAACAAGGCCTCCTGCTGCACATGAAGGCAGAGTTCACTACAAAGAGCTCATGGCTCACAGTCTGCTGACACCTCATCCAACAGGAAGTTCAAGGCCCTGCTGTGGCCATGGCTGGAAGCTGGCTTCCAGACTGTCACAGGTCTCAGAAACACCCGGCGAAAGGAACACTGGCAGGATGGCTGCTAGAAATGAGACTGGGAAGAAGGGCCCTGTGCCCAGCAAAGAGGAGGCACACGTGCGTAAGGTTGATGCCCACGAGACAACTGGCACCCAGGGTGGGCACCTTCAACCAAACGGAGTAGCTAAGTCTGCTCAGACTTAAATCCTAGCCAGACACAATTTTACCAATGCTAAACATTTAACCTTTTGGAAAAGAGCTCTTTAAAAACAATAAAGTTGGAAGACTTTCATAGAGTTAACACAGCTGGGATTTCCCCAAGCTCTGTCTGCCCTAGCTGTGCCTTCAACGTTTAGGCTCCAGAACTGCCACACTGCAAAAAGAGAAGTCTAACGGCACCATTTTGCCCTAATTCCAAGAGAGTCTAAGAGAACAGAGAAAATATGATTAGAATCAATGATTTTATTGAGGGAGATAAGTTACTCAAATGTCAACGGGCCGTAGGCAAAGGGAACAAACACATTAGAAGTCTCAGGTGCGGTGGAAGAGGAGAGAGAGTACTAACAGCTCTGCCCAACCAAAATTCCAGATCCAGGGCTTCCATACTTCTCCAAGGCTCGATTTCTCATGGGTCACTTTCCATTCAAAGGATTCTGAAGACCAAATGCAACGGGATTCCTTCAACTACCACCCAAGAGTCTTTGGGTCTTCTCTCAGCCAAGGCATCCAATGAAAGTATGATCTATTTTTCAGATTCCTCTGGAGGATTAAAAAGTCTCTTTCGCATTGCATTGCCACGCTCCCTGCTCCTGTTCCTCTTTTCCATGTACTAGAAAATAAAAGGAAGAGGGGGAGAAGAGAGACAATAGATTACATCATCATTTACATACGTTAAATATTTAGATATATTTGCAAAATAAAAATAACATTTTTACTGACAAAATTTCTACATGGCTCTTATTTCACTGAATCTGAGATTGGAAACAGTGACCTTAGAGGCCATCTAGTAAAATTTCATTCAATACAGTACAGCACCTAACTCCTAATAGGTGCAGAAATATTTGCTGAGTTATTTCCTCCCAAAACGTGAATTCAATAAATATTTAGGATGGATGAGTCCTGTCCCTGTTCTCCAGAAGCTCACAATCTAGCGTGTCATCTAACCTCTACTTGAACACTTCTTAATCAGGAGGCTCCCTACCCTGAGAGGCAGCCTGTTTAACTGTTGGACACTTCTACTTGTTCCAGAGCTTCTCGTGTTGAACCAAGTGTTTCCCTGTAAATTCTCCTACTTCCCTCTATTTCTCCTTGCCTGCTACAATCTTCCAAATATCTGATTACAGGTAACCCACTCACTATCTCTTTTACAGGCTGAACGCTGCTGGTTTCTACAACTGTTCCACAGAACACAGCTTCTGCCTTCTAAAGTCTTATCTGTAAAGTGCCTTTTATACAACACTTTAATATGAATAACCCCTTATAAAAATATACCACACCAGAATTAAATACTCTAGTGCTCTAAACAAAGTCCGGCAGATATGGACTACAGTGGGCCTTCTAGTTCTTATGACCTAAACACACCATATTTCTATAAATATTGCCAAAAGAGTAACTGGCTGTTAGTAACCATATTATCCTAATGGTTCATATGGAAACTTATAGTCAGCTGAACTTCCTAGGATTTTTTCATCATGAATAGTCATCAAACCCAATTCTCCCCAAATCTTATGTTTCTGTAATCGGTTGGATCTAAATGTAGTTTTCACCTTGGAGGATTTTAGCTTAGTATTCTGATCTGGCCAGCAGGTTATAACTAACAGGAAACCCAGAGCCTGGCACTGAGAAAAAGTACTTGTTTAAAGCAGAGAAACGTGAATGTAAGTGGTTTCATACGTGTATATTTACATGCTTATAATAAATACACCAATAAAGACATATTTTAAAGATGCAAGAGGGGTTCTTAGGCAGAGTGGAAAAAAAGGAAAAGCAAATTCAAGTTGAAAAAACTGAGTATATGTGAATAATTGGACATCAAAATCTTTCAGCTGTCAGAGATATGGAAAGAAGCCATAGAAGCAAAAGATTAGTGACAGAGCACTAACCAGGGACTCTGGCTGCCCTCCCCTGAGTCCTGAGATTAACACCTTTGAGTTACTTCATCTTCTGGGCCAGTAAGCTCAAATGTAAGGAGTTGGGTTAGATAATCTTTAAGAAGTTTTCTCGGTCTAAAGTTTTGACTGAAGAGTTCTAACATATCTTCTGGAATAGTAGCAGTTTTCAAACTTTTTTTTTCCTCATCAAAGGGCCATTTCAAATAACAGATGAAACACCAGGTCCCTTTAACCAAAACATTCCTTTTATCCGTCATACATTAATTTTCTTCATAAGACTGTCGGTGGGGAGAGGGGAAGGGCGTTTCATTGCTTTAAAAGGTTAAAAAAAAAGATGTTGTAGAACATGGAGGGATACCTGCTCTGAGAAAAATATTTGATATCCCTCTTTAATCATATGAAGCCTCCAACAATCAGGTTCAAAGGAGGGTCTAATGGGTAAGTCTTCAGAAGACAATACTCTGTAGCAGGCCAATAAAATAAGGCATAAAGCAAATTAAAACAGAGTGTATATTAAAATACATGTTACGGTATCTCCAAAGGGAGTCAACATGGCCCCTGAATAAAAGAAGAAAAAAAAAGGATAACTATAATGTTATTCACAAAACACCACCAAACAACGCAGATAGTATGGAAGGTCAATTAGCCAAAAACCAAACCAAACAAAACAAGTAAGAGAGACAAAAGAGGATGCTGCAAAAGTAGTATTAGCGATTATTTCAATAAAAAGAACAAAAGCAGCAACAAAGCAGCAAAGAGAGCATCAGAAAGAACTGGCCGGACCTTTTTTCTAGTTAAAGCTTCAAAGAATGAAGTACTTAAATGACACATGAAGGAAATGGTAGGAGGAGAGCATTAGAAGCAGTAAATGGGAAACTGGGAAGCATTAAAAGCAGAGAGGAAATAAATGAGCACAGGTTTGGAGAACTGAAGGATGAAAGAACAGACAGAAAAACATCTATAACTCAGGTAATGAAGCAATATAAAAAACTACATAGAGGACTTAGAAAGCAGTCAAGGAGAAAACCTGACATTTATACGAAAACAGACTCAGACAAAATAAGAAAAATATCTACACATTCTTCTACCAAATAGGAAAAAAAAATTTCATCTGAGGATCTAATCACCAAACCAATGGCAAAATCACTGAAATGTAAGGGAAAAAAAAAATCTAAACTTAGGAAAAAAGCTATCTTATACAACTGAAAGCATGTAAGAAACAAACAGCTATACCAAATAAAACACTATGGGTTTTATTTTTCCATAATCTTACTAAAACAGGAACACAGCCCTAGGGTTAGTTTCCATATAAACTACCATTTACATATGATGAAAAAACTCTTTTCAAAAACCAGTTTAAAACACTCATACCCATTTGTTCACACAAAGAAAATTATCAGAACTCCAGGAAGTTTTTCAAACAGGAAAGATGCTGTAAAGAGATTCCAGGAAGGGCGGGATGGTGGGGGGAGAGCCCCAAAGTGGAAAACACAAAAAATGATTCATAGGTGCTGAATGGCTTCAAATATCATATCTAATACCTTTCAGTATGAGGCTCATAGGGGAAAAAACGTTCAAAAGTACAGAAAACGCAAATTGGAGGGCAGATTTTTAGTAGTTATATATTTTTAAAAGTTCTGGACCTAAAATATCTGATGAACAAAACAGAAATGGAATTAAATTTCTTTTCAAAGATTTAAAACGCACTCTGTTCAGTTTGCAGTACCTGCAAAAAAGACAATAAACTTTGGCCGTTTGCCCAAGTCCAAGTCATAGCCTAAAACTCTATTCAGGAAACGAGTCTTTCCAAACAAGTCAAACTAGATCCCTACGGGTTGTACATACTATAATTATAAAGAAATTCAAAATTTTAAAGCTGGAAAGAGCCTAAGTCTAGCCTCCTCATGTTATACAAGGAAACTGAGGCCCAGAGAGTTTTAGTTACCTGCTATAGCTAAACACTGACTGACAAGTCTTTCTGCTGAACAGCTTCAATGTCCTAAACCTTAAAAATCCATCCAAAGGAGTTACAGTGACTATTATAAGATAGTTGTTTTCATTTATGTACATGCAATTAAAAATCAGCAATGTCCCCAAACTGTCCCCAGAAGATACTTTAATTTCTCCTCTTGGTTTTACGGGAAGACATACATATAAAGTCAATTTTTGGTGTTATACAAAAATTTGCAAAAAACTCAATATTGTTCCAAGATGCTCTTTTCTATTGTTCAACCATTTCCATCCTTTAACATTTTCCTTACCTCATTCTTCAAGCATTTTCTCATCTCCCGATCAAGATCATTGCAATGACCAAAAAATTTCAGAATGCTGTGCTAAAAGGAAGAAAAGGTGTAAAATATTTCATCCTATAATATGCTACGGTCTCTGGCACACAGAATTGAAACACTTATTCCTACAGAAATGGGTTTAATGGGTCACGTTGTCAATAAGCAAACAGTTAATAGTTAAGCAAATAGTTAAGTCACAAGTATAAAATATACAAATAAACAGGCTTATTCTGGCATTCCTACAAAAGAGGAATAAATGCTCTATAGGTAGAAATGAAAAATAAAAAGACTTTTCTTTGATAAAAGAGAAGACTATTAACCTGCCAAAACTTCATAATGACCGAGTGAAAAGCATTTTATTACCTAATACCCTTTCTTTAAGGGCATGTTATCCATCCTCTATTATAGAGTGATGTCAAAGGGCAGTGTAGCCATATTGACACGACCAGTAACTTCCTTCACCAGCAAACACTCCTGTCCCATAGAAGAGTTACTTATGGAAAGCTTGGTGCCAAAGCCATTCTCTCATTTGCCTCCATTCAAAATGTCATCAAAATAAATTAGAAACACATAACACTATTATTAGATGGCCTGTAAGGGCCACATAACCAAGCCAGTAATTCACAATATAAGAAAATCAATGTCTGAATTCAAAGTCTGCTTTGTTTGAAAAGCAAAGATAAAAATCTTCTAGTGGTTTCAAGTCCTGTGACTATTATCATGGCAAAAAGTATATATGCTCCAAAGCAGATAAAGACTGACATCAAGAACCTGAATTTTAGTAGGGCCATAATTACTGTGTTTGCACGTCACGATTTTTATGGGCAGGTCGGACAGCATGGTGATCTCCTATAATGACATGCCATAAATGCTGAACTTGTAACAATGAGCACATCTTTTCCTTTTCTTTCTAATTAAGGCTTTCATGGAAACCAGACAACACATAATTAGTAATAGTCATGCTACTTCTTTTTTCCCTGTTTCTTCACCACTTTAAATGTACTTTTCTGGTCCACATTGAATAAATGGTCAGAGTTTTTCTGGCAAGCATTTAAGATCTCCTACTGATTACCTAATTACCTTTTCAGGATAAATATTTCCTGTGTATAAACTACCTCCTTGACAACAAACAGGGACAATGCTTTTTCACACACCTTCTGGCCAAAGAGAAATACCAGAAAGGGTTAAACTTTTAGAACGTAAGGCAATATTTCATAGTTTAGTTTATATTTATTCATATCATCCCATACACATACATCTTATTTTAAAAATTCAAGACAAAAACTAATTTATATTTTCACTTTCACCTCAACATTAGCCCAAATGAGAATTATACTCTTGTGACATTATGTGAAAAACAAACCCAAAACGCCCCAGTGGAGTTGGTAAAAGAAATGCCCATGGACTGCACTTCTCTTGTATACACATGCATAAGCCTCCAGTGCCTGGTGTCTGTTCATAGAGAACAAACTGGTAGAGCAACTGATTGAATAAGTGAATCAATTAGTCAGTGTCTGGAAGACAGTGTCCCAGGCACTAGGGACACAACAGTGAGCAAGGTGGACCTGGGCCCTACTCTCACAGCTCAGAGTCAGAGGAAAGAGACAAATCATGAAGTGATTGCTATAAAGCAGCGGTTCTCAAAGTGTAGTCCCCAGGGCTACCCAAGACCTTTCCAGGGGAAGGTAAAATCTATCTTCCTAATAATTGAAGATCTTATTTGCTTTGCTCACTTTCATTCTCTCACAAGGGTACAGTGGATTTTTCCAGAGGCTACATGAAGTGTAATATCACCACAGATTGAGCGCAGAGACAGATATGAGAATCCAGCTATATTCTATTAAACTAAACATTAAAGAGAACTGCAAAAATGCAAAAGCAATGTCACTCTTCCCACCGTTTTTTTGTTTTGGAAAATAAGGTATTTTTTACGAAAAATAACTATTAACATGTAATGGGTTTATTATTATAATTTTTAAATAAATTAGTATTTTTCAATTTCTCAGTTTTAATTTCTAATTCACTAAATATTGGTAGATATAGTCCACATAAACAAAAGTTCTTTGGGGTCCTCAATAACTTTTAAGAGTGTGCAGGAGTCCTGAGACCAAAAAGAGTAAGAGTAACTGCCATAACGCAGGAAATCTATTCTGTACAGTATTACTGGAGTACAGAGAATCCGGGTCAGGAAAGAAAAGGAAGAGGAAATGACAAATTAAGCAGAATAAAGCCTGGAGGATGATAAAACCTGATCAAGCAAATGAGAAGTTGAGACAGTGAGGAAGGCTCTAAGTTAAGCATAGGAAAAAAGCAAGTACAAAGGCTTAGAAGACAAAAACATGCTCCAGTACAACTGCAGACAAGAACACGCAGGAAGGATGAGGGGCGCGGGGGCAGGGGGGGGGGGGGGGTGGTGGCGTGTAGTCAAGCCCAAGAGTAAGTAGGGGCCAGTACATGAAGGCCTCGAAACACAAAGAAATTTTAGAGTTTATTCTACAGGCAAAGGGAGCCATTAAGGGGAACAGTGATTAAACTTACATCTGAGAGAGAACTCCAGATAGAGCATAGAAAGTGAACTGGGACAGAAAAGAGGACAAAACAGTCATGGGACCAGGTGGCCCCAGTAAGATAATGTTGGAATCAACTGGTGTTAAGAACAGACATATAAATCAGTGGAACAGACTAGAGAGCCCAGAAGTAGACCCATTCACATATGGTCAGCTGATTTTTGACAAAGCACCAAGGTAATTTAGTGGGGAAAGGACAGTCTCTTCAACAAATGGTGCTGGAATAGCTGGGTATCCACAGGGAGAGAAATAAACCTTGACTCATACCTCACACCATACACAAAAATTAACTTGAATCACAGACCTAAATTCTAAAAGCTAAAACTATAAAACTTCTAGAAGAAAAAATAGGAGAAAATCTTTGTGACCAGGAAATATACAAAGATCCTTAGAACACAAAAAACATAAACAATAAAAGAAAAAACTGGTAAATTAGACCTCATCAAACTTACAAACGGCTCTTTGTAACACATCTTTAAGAAAATAAAAAAGGATGCCACAGACTGGGAGAAAATATTCACAATACACTTATGAGACACAGGACTTCTATGCCAAATGATAAAAAGAATTCTTACAACTCAATAACAAGACAAAACAACCCAATTTTAAAATATGGGCAAAAGACGTTATATGAATGGCCAATAAGTACATGAAAATATGCTTAAAGTCATCAGCCCCCAGGGAAACACAATTTAAAACCAAATAATATACTATGACACATCCATAGAATGGCTAAAGTTAAAAAGACTTACAATATCAATTCTTATTAGTTATCTATTTTATACATATTAGTGAATATATGTCAATCCCACAGTATCAATTCTTAATCTAGATGTATGGCAGAAATAGTTTACCGAAAAGCATATTGTCATCAACAACATTCTTTGAACCAGTATAAATACCTGACTTCACAGGTCATCGGCATTCCTTACTACCTTACTTTTAGTCTTAAAATTTTACTCATTTAAATAATACTATTATTGGAATCTGATATATCTACAGTTTATGAATAACATGAAGGAAATAATGCATCATGCAAAGTTAAAGAAAAACACAAATGCTCCTTATAACTGTCTCATACATCAAACACATGAAAAAAGCTAAATAGTTGACATTGGGAAAAATATCAGATTAATTTAACGCATTCCAAAAATGGGCTTATTTTCTATTTTGGTTTTAACCATGGAATTTTATTTCCATTCCACTAACAACTAAGTAAACCTGTCAAATTAGGCCAGTCATAATTTAAATCTAGTTAACATATAATTATAAAAAATGTTTCAACTTCCTTTAAACACAGAACTGTACAAGTCAAGGACAAGAAACAGGGATTCTAATTACTATATATCATTTCAGAAGCTCCCTAATAAACTACCATGCTTGATTTCTACTCATCAGAAAGGGAAATGGTTTCTAAAAAGATCACAAGCATCAATCTTTACTAAGCTAAGACCCATAACTAAGACATTATCATTTCCTTCCATTAATGGAGATAACGTTTTACATCGGTGTGCTGTACCTAGGTTTCATTTTTGCTTTATGGTCATTTTCTGAACTCTTACATTTTTGTGACATTCCTTAAGCAAGTTAATCAAGACGTTGCATTCTTCAGTATGCAAGTGTGGAGATAAGTCAGGATGCATCTTTAGGAGAAGGAGATGGAGCACAGCAGAGCAACCTGTGGATACAAGAGTGTCTTGAATATGTGTGACTGTACTTGTTAATGCGACCTAAAAGTATTTTCAGTAAGAACCTGCAGTGACTTTTATCAGAAAAGAATGCTGACCTTAGGCAAATTATTAAACTTGAGCCTCAGCTTCCTTATCCAATGACTTAACAGATTTGGCAGGTTATCAGGAGTGTTTAGAGAATATGCAGGTTCAGAAAAAAGCAGACTCCTCAAGAGACCCAATCCTGGAAATAGGTGCTCAAGCAGAAACAGCTTGCCTATATTAATAAGTGTGCCTTCAATTACTTTTCCCACATTCCTGAAATTGATTACAACTCATTTTGTTCTGATGAAATTCTACCAATGACGAGAACTGGCCTATTAATCCTTTTTAAATGTATAAGGGTTAAAGGGCCATTACTCAGTCTCACATCAGTGTGAATTAATGTAGACTGCTTTCTTCCTAACTAACATCTGGCTGAGAAAATCTAAATAAACCATGAAGAGAAACAAGAATCAGATGTGGAAATTTTTTTCTCAAATTTAGCATATATACTCATAAAATGCAATTATTACAATGAAAACAAGAACCTAAAATCCCTGAAATTAAGTTTAATTGCTTCATTTCACAAAGAAGAAAATTAGCAGCCAAGGTCTAAGATAAAACATCATTTTCAGGTTTTGCTATATTTATGCAGCACTATTCACCTATTCTTTTCTTAAACCTATTCTTTTTAACTCAGAAAAGATTACTACACATCCACCAGAATAGCGATAATCACAAAATCAGACGATACCAAGCACCGGTTAGGATGTAGAGGAAAGGGACCTTACTCATTGCAACTGGGAACGCTAAGTAGTACAGACACTTTGGAAAACAATTTGGCAGTTTCTAAAGAAGTTAAACACAAACTTAACATATGACCTGGAAACTGCACTCCTAAGACCACACCCAAGAGAAATGAAAACACATATCCCCACAAAGACTTATATGTGAATGTTCATAGCATTATTCATAATAGTCAATATTGGAAACAATCCAAATGTCTAATAATCAAGTAATGGATAAACAAATCGGTATATCTATACAATGGGATACTACTACCTAGCAATTAAAAAGAATGAACTTATACACGTGCCAACATGGAAGAATCTCAAAAGCACTAAATTAAATGAAATAAGCCATATTCAAAACACTGGAATGTATGAGTCCATTTATATGCAATGTCTAAAAAAGGCAAATTTGTAGAAACAAAAAGCTGATCAATGCCTAGGCCCAAAGGTGAGAGTGGGGATTAATATGCAAATGGCACAAAGAAAACTTTGGGGGATGAAAATGTTCTAAAATAGGATTGTGGTAATGGCTGCACAACTGTAGCTTACTAAAATCACTGAATTCACTTAGAGTGAGTGAATTCTATGGTATGTAAATTATACCTTAATAAAGCTGTTAAAAAAAGTTCCAAGAAATTCAAACTGCCCATCAACATCCCACTCCCGACAAATAAAATCCTTAAAAATGACTAAACAAATAATTGCAGAGAATTATAATATACTTATTTCAGATTTCAAGTGATAAAAATATCAGAAGATCACTGTTCCACTGAGTAACTACTAAACACACACACATACACACACACACACACACACACACACACACCCCCCACAGCTAAAGATCACAAATCAGGCCACTGTGCCAAGTAAGTATTTGAGTATTTGAAATGGAAACTGGAAATGCAGCCAAGTTCAAGTTCTGTTTGCCTGTCACTGACAACAAAGTCTTTTCAATGATATAAAAATTTTGCCTCAGAAAAATGAGGTCTCATACAGTGCAGCAATTTAAGTCATCTAATATTACACCAGTATTATATACCTACACTTATGTATATATTAGTTATCCTACTTCTGCCTTGCTTATTTTTTCTGAAGGGAGATGTACACTGGTTTAGTCACCTAGAAAATGCCGTTAACATTTTATTCTGTAAATATATTTGACAAAATATTCTTGCATATTTCTATCACCCAGCCCTCAAATGTGTGCTTTTACAGTTCAGAAACAAGCTTCTGATGTACTGAAATGACCTCTCTCATTGGTAAGGTAAAACTTAAGAACACACTTGGCTGCTGAGATAAATATACACATGCACCTTGTATATAAGCATAAATGTATATCATAATAGATTATTTTTCCTCCCTCCACAAAAGTTTACTTCAAACATGTACGTTACTGTAGACCCAGTCATGGTGCCAATGAAACGTCTTCCTGTCTACCTACTTACCCTAGGTGATTGTGTCAAACAAGAAAATGGTTTCATATAGTTTCCTTTTCCTATTCTTCTTGGTGAAAGCTGTGACTTAACCTAAAGCTCTAAACACTTACCTATCCCTTATCTAACAAATTCCTTGCTTTATCAATCATTCCCCTCTTGCCTCCACCCTATCTTTTTAGTTAGATATTCTCTTCTTCCCTTTTCCTTCTATCTACTGGCTTTGGCTAACTGTTGGTGTATATGCAGATGCACTGCTGTACTCTTGGGTGTAATATACAAAACATAACTCTAAAACAATGGCATTGTTCTTAGAGCACATTTAAATGAGTGCTGACACCCTCCAGTAGTCATCTTTAAAAGCTTATTCTATTAACACTACTGTAACTCAAAGTAACGTTTTATGAACTGAATAAAACCTAAATATATATTGCATATGCTTATTTTTAAAATTTCATCAAAGCCATAAGAATATATCCACATTATTAGAGTAGAAAATAATTTCTTGAACACTTAACCACCTGCAGGCACAAGTCTTATAATCCTCCCAATAACCGGAGGAAGTAGGTACCTTTTTAAGTTCAGTTGAACCATAAGAAAGAGCTTTTTTGTAGGTCAAAATACGCATTAGTCATATTTTCATAGCAAAACTAAGCCCCGGGTCACACAGTAAATGACAGAGTTACTACCCAACGTAATCTCCCACCGTGACAGATTTTTCCCGCATTCAAAATAGGAAAGACATGCCTTCCCAGCAGTTTGTGAATGAAATAAATTCAGATAGAAAAAAACTATTTCCCAAAGAACCTCTGGTTAGCTACAACTTCAACAGGGACTAATTCTAGGCCTAGATTCAAAGAAGTCAATGTAATATTATCCTATATTATTAGAAATAGAGGATCTGTCTACATCAAGAAAAAGAAAAGTATTGTGTTTGTCCTGATCAGCCATGTCCAGAATACTGACAATTTGAGTACCCCCGGGGGGAATGCTCAGGATGGAGATGGCTCTGACACTAGGCTTAAACAGGAAGCCATTCATGAAATTGGGAATATTTACTAACTTAGGGAAACCCACAACAGTAGAGACAGATAAAAAGAACAGCCTGGTTAAGTATGACAAGTAATGGATTTGAAGGGAGAAGATGTGGGTCTGAAGGCAAAGGCTGTGGACACAGCTATTCACAAGTTATATCACTTTGGCTAACTTAATCTGAGACCTAAGTCTCTTCTTCCATAAAATGGAATTAGCTCTTGACCTATATCATGAGGTTTAAAATAACATATGTGAGAGTATCTGATATAGTGAAGAGTGAGTGCGACAAAGGTAAAGTATTATTAGTATATCTGAAATGCCCTGTCACCTGATGGGAAAGGCTGAACTGAACTGACTCTGAGATGTGTCCGAGGACAGGACTGGAAACCAAAGTGTGGCAGTTACAGAGGCAGTTGTCATCTTCCTGGAGCTGTCCAACAATGAAACAGGCTGCTGTGTGAACTTCTCATTAATCTGTCCTAATGTGCCCAAGAGACTGGCTAAGTTAATTAAGGATGTTACAGAGTATATTCTTACGTTGCATCCTTACCTTTCTTCTCAAATCTAAGTTCACAATTAAATTTAAGCCATTGCCAAAAATAAAATTTGCCCTCAAGGAATAAACGCTTGTTACTACTGATAACACAGAAAACAATCTCAAAAGGCAGCACCAAGGTAATTATGAACATCAGCCGCACTATTGAAGCAAAGGTGAAGGGAGTGTTCATTGGTGACAAGACTTTGTGTACGGGTATTTGCAGTGAGAAAGACAGGGATAAATTCCATTCAAACTGTTAGTACTTAGTTAAACACAAAACTTCAGTCCCACTTTTACACTGGCATTTTGAAACCATCAGAACGGTTTACTTGTCACAGCTACAACTCTTCCTTCCCCATGCCAATCCCATCCACTTCCTCAGGTATGCACACATTGATACCACAACAGTCCACTTAAACTCTTAAAAATGTTCATCTGTGACAATTTGATATTTTGATAACTGGCTAATAGGCCCCTGCAAAGCAACTGTAACTTTTACTTGGAGGTAAGCTGGGAGGGTTTAAGCAGTAGGGTGCCCTCACTAAAGATATAAAAACTATAGTCTTATTTTATTCACTGCTTCACCTTATTCTACCAAGACCCTGAGGTAAAATTTTTCTAACGAGTATTCTATGATAGGCAGAAGACTTCAACCACCAGGTGGCACAATTTTAGAAAATAAAAAAACCGAGAGTAAGAAATACATTAACTAGTGAAGAAAAGGGAGGAAGCATTCTAATAACACATTTCAGCAGAACTATGATCACAAGGGGGAAACCCTATATTTTAATGCCACTTAGGCTTTCTTTAGAAAGATTTTGCTATTGTGTGGCCCCACCAGAAAGAAATTTACACTACAGTTATAATTTCTAATGTCATTTTAAAACAAGTCCAGAAAAGCTCTTGTTCAGAGTCTGAAGAATCTGTTCTCCAGGAAAAATGATAAAATAAGAGTTAATGCTTTCTAAAAGATATTTTTTTAAGTCTAATTTCAGAAAGCACTGGAATTAGTTAAGTGAATGTTTCTCTACTTCAAACTGCACCACATTCAGTAGAGGTAGCAGACATAGCAGGGGACTCCCTACCCTACCCACTTTTACTTATCACAGCTGCAAAGTCACCAAATCTAAACAGATGCTTTTGAGTGACAAGTGCTCCCAGAGTATAGACCATGCCCCACTGCTACTGACAGCAACCCACATAATTTCTTAAGGAATGTGCCAGGGTGCAGCTTTCCCTGAACTAATATTTACCAGCACTTACTTGGTGCTGAGCACTCTGTCAGATCACTTGAATTTCAGAGGAAAAAAAATTAGTCCATGAACTTCAACGAACACACAGGCTAGTGAGGGAAGGGACATTCCCCTAAATGCACATAGTAAATGCCCAATAAATGTTTACTGAAGGTTGAATATAGGATTACCATGGATTTGAGAATTGATTCAGACATCGACATAGTTATTTTTTTTAAAAAGGTGGGAAATGAGGGTCACTTTAAATCAACCAAACAAGTGCAGAAGCCTGTGTGGATAGAAAAGGAGACACAAGGGGTGTCACAACAGAATTCCTTTGCCAGCGCAAACTTTTTTTATGCATTTAAGTCTTCAAATGAAGGCTTCCAGAACTCGGATTTACTGAAGACTCTTCATAAACCACTTACTGTGAAACGACAAGCTCAGTAATCTTGAAACCCAATAAACGAGATCTGAATGTCACTTTCCTTGAAAAGCGTACTGAGGGTGATCTCACTGGATTCTCGCATCGCAAGACGGATTGGTGGGAACTTTCTCTGAAGCTGAGATGCGCCCTAACAGGCTCCCACCTACCACAATCAAATCCTAAACGCCTGAATACCCAGTAACAGTAATCATCACACAACGTACTGAGCGCTCACCGCGTCAGACACGGTGTTCAGGGCTTCCCTTCTCACAACCGAGGCGCTGGGTTATACCCATTTCACAGGCGAGGAGGCTGACGCTCGGGGTGAGGAGGAGCTCGCCCAAGGTCACAGGCTCGAGAGCGGCGGCGAGGTCGATTCCCGCAGGCAGTGAAGGTCTACACCGAAGCCGGCTCTCAACTACCAGCGCGCGTCCCAGAGAATGCCCGAGGGCGGGGAGCTCAGGACGACTCCAACGCCCCGGCAACACCCAGCGCAGTGGTCCCAACCCCCCAGGCGGGCGCGAAGTCCCGGCAGGATGGCACACAGTGGGGCGCGCGAGTTTGGGACCTGAGGGGGGACAGGTGAGTGTCCCGCAGCCTCCCCTCACACCTCGGCCACGAAGAGAGCGCTCCTCGGAACGGCCCGGACCCCCAAGACTCACCCGACTGGCGGCCACACCGGAGAGCGGAAGCGGTATTCACCGGCGAAGACTCTGCACCCAAAAGCCGGCGGCCAGGGCGCCGGAACCCGAACAGCTCCGGGTGGCGAAGGTCCCGCGCCCTCCACGCCTGACCCCGCGCGGCCAGCCCCCACCGCTCGCCGCCCGATGCGCATGCGCCATCCGGCCTGGACAGGCCCATTTTCTGGCGCTGTAGGGGGAGAGAGAGCGAGTCCGCGAAGGCGCGGCAAAGCCTGAACTTTAAGTCGAACCGACGAGCCAGATTTCGTGGCTGGGATTAAAGCATTCAAACAATATTCTCTGCTAAGAAGAGTGAGGCGGGGACTCGGAGAGGTTTCACTTCCGTCGCTCTCCCCACACGGTCCCCTGTGCCGAGGGTACAGTCCAAAGTTTTGGCTCCGCCGGGAGGGGCTCCAGGGCGGCGGGAACTGCAATTGGTGGCTTTGAAGGTGCAGCAGGCGGGAACATCTGATGAGGAGAGAGCCGGCCGGCGATGTGGTACGGTAAGAGGACCCCTGGCGGCATGGCATCGGGCCCCCGAGCGTGGAGGAAGCCTTGAAGAAGCCACGTCCCACGCCTCTGAGGCGACTTTTTCGCGACCACCGCAAGTCCGAAGGTGTGGGATTGGCCCTTGCTCTCGGGCCGGAGGCTGGGGACTACAGTTGCGGCTGAGGTGAGGAGGGCGATGACGCTGGGCCGTGACGTCACATCCGCCCGTGGTGGGGCGGAGCCTTACGTAAGGCCTGCGTCACGCTAGAGCCGCGCCGAGCTGTCACCGGCTAAACTATCCCAGCCCTGCCTGGGTTGCTGCTTTCCCCGGAGTTGAGTGTTCTTGTTTTTGGTTAACCTTGGCGTCCGTCCTTTTTAGTCTTTGCAGCCTCTCGCATTACTCCTGCTGCTCCTTGTGGCAGCTCTTAGGCTGTGCAGATTTCCAGGAAAGTTACTTAAAAGGGACCTTTTTTGTCATGCGTTCATTCAGCTGTTATATCTCGAGCACCAAGCCAAGCACTGTGCTAAGCGCTCAGATGTAAAAAGAAGTTAGCTAATCACAGGGAATCAGAAGAGTTTATTCAAGGGTTTTCCAACTTTATTGATGAGATTGTGTGGACTCTTTCTACCAGAATTCTTTAGAATGGCATTCCCAAAGTTTAGCGGGAATTAAGACTCTTAGTCTTAAAATGCAAAAATCTCAAGCCCTTCTCGGTCCCCCACCCCACCCCCAGTTTAAATCGTTGGAGCCCAGGAATCTGCATTTTAACAACCACCATCTCCAGTGTTTTTGATGGGAGACGTTGGCTTGATATTGTCACCGACTGTTGGACCCTAATCCTTCCCGGGTTGTTTACCTCCTCAGGCACGGCTGCTTCAGGAGAGCCTCTTAAGACTTCATTCCACAAGTATTTCCACTAGACAGTTCTTGGGCTGACACTGTTCTAGATTCTAGGAATGCAGCTATGAATAAGACAAACATAGTTCCTGCCCTAGGGAAGTTTAATCAAATATTTAATGCAATAAAGCAATAAGCAAGATAATTTCAGATAGTTCTGTAAAGACAAGGTGGGGAAATAACTAGATTGGGTGGTCAGGATAAGTCTCTCTGTGAAGAAGCATGGCTGAGACCTGAATTACAAGAGCCATGTGAATATGTGCAGAAGAACCTTCTAAGCAGGGGTCACCGCAGATGCAATGGCCCTTAGCTGAAGGGATCCTCTTGTAATAGAGAAACTAGAAGGGCAGTGTAGCTGGAGCTCAGAAAGCCAAGGAGAGAGTGGTGGATGACAGGGAGGCAGGAACCAGACAACGCAGGGCCTTGTGGACCATGGTGAGGATTTCAGTCCTGACATTAAGGCAGGTGGGTCCTGCATCTGGACAAGGAAATGAGTCAGGCTCAATTTTCATGATCCTCATGCTACTCCCACATTCTTAATTCAGTTATTTTTCTCTCTAAAGAACTAATCATTCCTCTTTATTTTTAACTATTGTTTTTAGTATCTTTTCAAAGTATTGGGTTGGCCAAAAAGTTCGTGCGGGTTTTGCCATAAGATGTTACAGAAAAACCCGCACGAACTTTTTGGGCAACGCAATATATTCAACTACCCATATATTTTCAGAAGTGGGTGATGGTAATAAATTATATGCCGTGTTCAACACTTAAATGGTAGAAATACGTCGCAGCCAGGATTCTTTTAGGGGAATCTCCTCTATTTGCCCTTGGAAATCCCATAGTCGTGGTGGAAGCAGGTGAGATTGACAGACTGACTTCTGCCTCTAGTCATAAAGGCAGCCCTTCATGATCTCTGACCTCACCTCCTCCTCTGTGCCTTTTCACTCACCACTCTGACCTCTCTGGAGGCCTCCTTCTCCCTGTCCCTTGAAGACCCCGAGGCTTTTGCACTTGCTGTTCCATCTGCCTGGAAAGCTCCTCCACCAGCTAGCCCGATGGCTCACTCTCCCTCCCCCAAGGATTGGCTCAAATGTCACCTTCTCTCTGAGGCCTGCTCTCCATCCCCACCACCCATTGCCAGCCTGCTCCACTTTCACTGCTTCCTAACACCGCTCCGTTTTCTCCTCAGCACTTATCACTTTTAACATTTTTTGTGATTTTCCTGTTGCCTGTCTCTCCCAACTAGAAAGGACGCTCCATATTGGCAGGGATTTTTGTCTTTTTGGTTAAAGCTGTATCTATCCCCAGTGCCTAGAAAAGTGCCTGGCACACACAGGTGCTCAATAATTTGATACATGAATCAGTAAATGAGTGAATGATTCACATGTCATTGCCATCAAAAGATCAAAACACTCTAGCCAGGAAAGGAGGGAGAGCACTAATTTTTAAAAACTCTAAAACATATTTAAATGTACGCTTAAGGAGAAAATAGTTTAATCCTCCTGTTGGAACACTGTTCGTAGAGCGCCTGAAAAATGGTAAACATTTGGGTGCTTGACCTACAAATCAAAATTCTGGCTAAAAATATCATGCTGAAAATTCACTAAGTTACACTTTTGTGTTTGGTTAATACTTTATCGTGCTGTTTTTGGTTTTGTCTTTACGAAAGTGCCAAAGAGATGGATGAAACTGTTTCCGAGTTTTTCAGGAGGACCATCTTGAAAATCCCATTGACTGAAATGATGACAATACTAAAAACCTGGAATTTTTTGTCTGAAAATCAACTGCAGACTGTAAACTTCCGGCAGAGAAAGGAATCTCTTGTTCAGGACTTGGTTCTGCTTTGTGAGGTAACAGTATTCAAAATGATTAACCTTGAACATGATGCTACCCTTTGGTTTTTTTCTTTCCTTTCCTTAGTCCGAAAGAGATGTAAGGTAGCTGCTAGGCTGTGAAGTTAGGAGGGCTACGTACCACGATAGCGGAAAAGAAACTAATTTTTTTTTAATTTACTTTTGGCTGCGTTGGGTCTTCGTTGCTGCGCGCGGGCTTTCTCTAGTTGCAGCGAGCGAGGGCTACTCTTCATTGCGGTGCACAGGCTTCTCAGTGCGGTGGCTTCTCTTGTTGCAGAGCACGGGCTCTAGAACACGGGCTCAGTGGTTGTGGCGCACGGGCTTAGTTGCTCCATGGCTTGTGGGATCCTCCCGGACCAGGGCTCGAACCCGTGTCCCCTGCATTGGCAGGTGGATTCTTAACCACTGCACCACCAGGAAAGCTCCTCCTCATTCATTTTTAAATAAATATACTTTATGACCCAGCAATTCCACTTCGAAATTTACATATATGGAAAACATAATTTAAAAAAAGGAGGTATATGTAATATCATAATTGATAAACATTTATATACCTAGTTATAGATATGTAAATATCTATATATAAAGATGTTAACTAGCATTGTTTACACACAAAAAATTGGAAACAACTATACTTAGGAGATTAGATAAATAATGATATGTCCACATAAAATATTCCTTAACCATTAAAAAGAATAAATTAGATCTTTCTGTATAACACTGAAAGAAACTATATAATATGTAAACATATAAATGTGTGTGTATAGAGCAGTGGTTCTCAGCTAGGATGATTTTGTCTCCCAGAGGACACAATGTCTGGAGACGTTTTTGGGTGTCAAAACTGTGGGATTGGGGTGCTGCTGGCTTCCAGTGGGTAGAGGCCAGGAATGCTCCTTTACATCCTAGGACAGCTTCTACAACACAGCTTTATCTGACTCAAAATGTCACTAGTGCCTGGTTGAGAAAACCTGGGATAGAGGAAATCTAGACGGATACCATAGATTAAAAAAAAAAAAGTTAAAAGTGATAAATGAGGATTAGATCGGGGGAGAACAGTTGTGAGAACCTGTAATGAGACACAAATCAGAAGGTGTATGTGTTACTTAACAGAAGAGCAGAGTTGGGAGACAGGTTGTCAGTAGAGTACTGAGAGGGCCCTCATCTGCTCTAAGCAATCCTAAAATGTGCTGTAGATGGGGTAGAACCACACCTATCACCACGATTACTAAAAATGGTATATTCTCTTTCAGGAAAATCGTGCAAGTCTCAGTGATGCAGCCCTTTTAGACATCATCTGTAAGTTTTGGTGATTTGTATTTATGCTTAACCAGTCCAGTTTCATCAGAGAGGCAGTTTTGTATGTAACGGCTCAGATTCTAGAGTCAAGTTGACCTGGTTTCATATTTCAGCTCTGTCACTTACCAGTCTTGTGTCCTTTGCCAAGTCACACGACCTTTTTTTAAGCCTCAGACTTTTCCTAAGTAAAATGGACATAATAACAGCTTCTACTTCACAGGATTGTTATGAGGGTTAAATAAGATAAGACTTGAAAAGCCCTTAGCACAGTAACTGGCATACAATAAGCACATAGTTAGTGTTTGTTAGGCTTTGTATTATTATCAACAGAATTTGAAAGTAGATGTCTGCGAATGTGTTCTAATTACAGTGCAGCCTGTAAGGAACGTAAGGATTAACAGTGACCATACTTGCACATAGAGTGGTCATGGGGGCACTAAGTGGGAGAGGCACACATGGCTCTGGGGTCTACATGTGCAACTAGAAGGAAATTGGGCCCCCGGCTAAGATAGGAGACACTAGAGGTGGACCAAGCTTGTCACAAATATCATGGATTAGTCTAGCATGTGTTCTATTTGAGGAAATATCTGCATTTGTATTTAAGTCCTTGCCATTTATCATGAACTTCTACACGGTGTTTAAAAGAATCATTAACGACAAAAAGTTTTTAATCTCCATTATTACGACAGCAACCTTATTCAAAGATCATTTAGCAGGCCATCTGAACTCTGAAACAGAGAACCAAGGAAGAAAATACCAGAAAGAAACAAAACCC